CAGGTCTCAGACATGCTTATAGACAACCTATTGTTCCATTACCTATATTCTGTATTCCATACCCATACTTTATAAAAATTTGAACAATTGAATAACTGCTTCTGAATCTATTATTTTTAAAAAAAAGCTTTTATAAGTGAAAGCTTAGCATAATGTATACCAATATACTGCTATTCTGCTAGAATTTTTTACATTTAAAAAAACTCAACAAACCTTCCAGTGTTAATATACTTTAAAGAAATGGTGAAGAGCATTTATTTCAGCCTTTCATTGTCAACAGCTTTGCTGGAATCTTCTTTCTGTTCTTATGAAATGAAACAATGCCCCTCTGAAAGAGTGTGCTGCTCAGGATAGACCTTCTCCCCCCAAACTCTCATTTCCTATAGCAGTGGGTGTGTTCATACCTGGGAAGAAACCAGATGATCTGCAGTTCTCTGCTCTGTTGGGCTGCAATAGTGCAGATTTAAAGTCAAGACACATCTTCTCCCTTAACATCAATACTCACAGGTGGAGAATATCATTCTGCTGCAGAGCAAAGCAGAAGGCAAGGACAAGTCTTTGGAGAAGAATGAAAACATCTCTTTCAGTCAGCTCTGAATACTTATCTCTGTAATGTAATTTCCAAGCTCTGCCTGCATCAATTTATGGCACTCCAGTGAATAGTTTTGCCATTTTTCCAGCTGTTCTGACATGGATGTTGTCATTCAAAAAGACAGAAGCTTGGGAATATGCAGAAGGTGCTATGCTGGTTTTGTTTTGTTTTGTTTTGTTTTGTTTTCTCAAGTGAACATCTCAACTAGCGGCCTTGGAAAATCATAAGTTTTTGGAAGTGTGGCATGCCTCTGAAGCACTGTTCCCATCCTTCAGCTACAGAAGATACACTGAGTGTGCACAGCCTGGCACCAGCAGCAGGAGTAGGAAGAAAAGAGGGAACAGGAGGGCAAGGCCATGGCAGCAAAGCACATGAAGGGATTTGGGCTAGCAGAGGCTTCTGGGCATCTCCACAAATTACATGGATAATCAAAACTTAAGAGTGTCCCTGAAAAATTGAAAATGAAGCATGAAAATGAAGCATTCTTCATTGTGTATTTACATAAAACCTGAGGCAAAGCTGAATAGAAGCAAGGGAAAGTTGTCCAGTGAGTTCAGAGGGTTTTATAACAGGTCCTAACTAAGCACAAACAAGTGCTTATGTGTCAACACAAATGAAGTTTTATGCCTGAGCAAACAGCTTCCTACGGTCTGTAAAGCAATGACACGTACCTGTTAATACCCAGAGTGGTATAAAGCCTCTGATCCACCCCTGCATGAAGGTTGAACTCCTCCAGTAATACACTATGTAAGCAGGGGAGTGACTCTGGGTCACCAATACCCTTTGCAATACATGTTACTAACTGTGCTGCATGCCACAGTGGTTGGAGGAAAGGACAAGTATCCTTGCCAAGTATTCCACCCTATTTCCCAGTTAATTTGTTAAAAATCAACCAGGAGTGCTGTGAACGGTAAAGCTGCTAGGAAGAGAAAACTGCTCTGAAGAATAAACACAGAGAAAAGAGCTCTCAATGAATCTAATTTCTTGGTATGCCTCGTGGTATTTAACAATCAGCATCTGTTACAGTTAGTTCCTGATTTTCTGTAAAAGGTCTGCCCAGTAACTGGTATTTGTGTGTCCCGGGCAGAGTAAGCGTGGCTCAGAGCTCCGAGGCAGCGCTGCTGCACTGTGGGGTGCAGAGCCCCAAGCGATGAGCTTCACGCTGTCTCCTGCGGTCGTGTGGCACCATGGCCAGCCCCAAATCCAGACAGACCTGCCATGCTGGGAAACTCAGGCAGTGGTGTCAAGCTGCGCAGAGGCAGCCCCAGGCTGACACAGCTTGTGCCAGCAGCCAGCAGGATTCCTCTGCAATGATCCCACTGGCATTTGCTGCGGGATAAATATTGTCTGGGATTTTCCGTTATCTACTCCCTCTGGCCAGGAATGACATAGCAGTGACGTTGTCTTGAGCTCTGTATTTCCAGCCTCCCACAGCCACCCAGAATTAGTAAGGGGACTTGAGTCATTTACGTAAACATAAACATTCACTGGTACTTGAGAAAGCCAAGAGGATCCATACAAGGTATTTGCATGGGACGGGAAGACATGAAAAGGACCCGTGTAAGATCTCCAGTCTTGTGGACTGACAGATGAGAGACAGGCAGAGTACTCCAGGGTTCCTCATACAGCACCAGGTGTCTATTTTTAGGTAACTGAATTAGCTGGAAGCCAGCTCACAGCTGAAGCCATCTAAACACAGGTGCCAACATGTGCCCCAGGTGTCTAGGGTCCCATTACAGTCAGTTGAATTCTGCCACTGGAGACAGGAGAGCTATGCAGCTGGCCAGAAATAGGTGTCTGCATTGGGAGGAGCTGGTAGCTATCTGGGGTCCTCTGGATATATCAACTCTGGTCACAAGAGAGGGAGCTTAGATATCCAACTCACGCCTCGGCACATACATACAGACACATACGTAGTGTCATGATAAGGTGTTGTACCTGGTGTGCCAAATCCCATGCCATCACTCTCGGTCTTCAGGCTTAGTCCCATAATGTGGCACAGTACAGAAAGTCCAACGTATAAATAACAATTAAAACAATTATCTTTTTTTACTTGGTTTTCTTATTTGAGCCTTTCAGACAAGGCCTATCTGGATGTATCATATTAACATAACTTAAAGTATGGCCATCCTAAACTAAAAACTCTCTATCACCTTCCAGGAGGATGCTCTGCAGCCCCAAATGATGGGAATGGTGGTCGCTCCTCTTGCTGTGTTTCCCCTATCCCGGGTCTGTCCCAGTTTTCAACTGGACGTGACTCCAGGAAGGCAGTGGGAGGCTCGTTCTTCAGGACTGTCCACCTCACACAGCAGGAAATCAGGTAGGTCCTTTATTTTCTTGCCTCTTCCTGCCGGGAACTGCAAAGCAAGGGAGCGACACAGGAAAATCTGTGCTAATGCTACATGGGCCAATTTGTTGCACTCTGCTTTGGTTTTCTTTCATAGCTTCAGAGGAATTTTGAGGACAGTTAGTGAGGAGCAGCTCCTCATACATATTTTTCTATTTATATAAATATATTACATTATTAAGAGGCCTCAGAATATTCTGAAGGCCTGAGACCGTGTTCCAGCCGCTTGCTGTGCCATCCAACATTCAAGATGGCAGGGAAGAATTCAAACTGCCCATGGGGATTTTATGCCCTTTCCTCCCTGTGAGGTGAGTAGACAGAAGCAGGACTGACTGAGTCTGCCTACCGGGGGGTCCTGCTTTCCCTTTGCTGACTGCAAGGAGGAACAGCATCTGGCCAGGTACTCAGTCATTAATTCTGTCTTGAATGTGCATGCCAGAATAGACAAGCAAAGCCACCTTTGGGCCTGTAATACAGGATTGGGATATAGGCATCTAAAATGGTGTTGTCAACTTTGGGGGAATGCAAACGCAAAGATGTTAACCCAGAAGTGTGTCCCTTCCTCTTCACCATCCTCACCCACCCAAATTAGCTGAGCCAAGGGATCATAAACTGCCATGTTCTATCTTCTGTTTGCCAAAACTGCTCAATAATTTAAGAGCAGACAATTCTCGGAGGTTATAACGTGACCCTCCCAAGTCATCATCACTGCTGTAAGGGGGGGAAAAAAAAAAAAAAAATCTATTTTTTTCAGTTCAGTAGTGTTTCTTATCAAAGGTAGCAAAGCTTGTTTTGTAATAGTGCTCTGGGAAGGACAGTATTGCACACTAAGGGCAAAGTCTGGTGGATTTGAAAGTTTGGTTAAGCGATAGCAAAAATATTGTAATGAACAACTGCTTATCAAGGCTCCAGGGAGATTAATCTGGATATGTGCCCAAGGCACCAGTAAGAAAATCAGCGTACGCATTTTAGCTAACGATCTGGAAAACATAGGGTGCTATGGCGTAGTTTCTGTTGACATCAGAAACCTGACTTCGTAATGTCCTGAACAGGGGGCAAAGAAGGGAAGTGCAACATCTGCTTATCTCCTGTGAAACCAGAACACCTTTTATCCATGAGTAAACTTGTTGATTTCAGTGAACCTCTGACACGCTAGAAGCAAGCCAGTCCTGTACCTCTGGTGCTTTGCTGAATCAGGAGCCAAGTGCGTGGCCTCTGTTACTCACTGGGTTTGTGCAGGGGAAGGAAAAAAAAAAAAAAATCCTCAACATTTCAGCTTCTGGCACCTTCTGGAGTACAGGAGCTTGGCTGGAACTGATGGCCTGGGAGCAGCATGCTGCAGAGAGATGGGGCATTTCTCGCCGGGGCCACGTGCTTGACACGGGCACAGCAAGTCAGGAACATCCCAGCCACATCCACGGCATGCCTGGCTCCCACGTGCAGTGTGTGTGCCTCCCAAGCCTGCTGTGGGTGAGGTACAGAATGCATGTGTATGCATTTCCGCTTCGGAAAACCCAAGGGGAAACGTGCTAGTCTTGTCTCTAGGGACTGCGAGACAGTAAAGGTGGATGGGGAAAAAGAAACCACAACACATGTTTTCAGTGTTGGTTTTCTTTTGCTTTCTGTAGTAAAGTCCCTAGTGTACTTTAGTTCTGGGTTGTTTCTCCCAAAGCACCTGACATACTGATGTATGTCAGAGTGGTACCTTTCTGTAATTGCAAAATGCTTAAAGTTTGCACTATTTGGAGTATCACTGGGAAGGGGAAACTCAGCACACAAGGCTGTCACTTGTAGCTTTACCACCAGACACCCAGAGGCTGGCTGGTTTTCATCTGTCCTCTTTCAGATAAAGTACCTGTGTGCATTTTTACAGTTACTATATCTTCTTAAAATTAAGGGAGATCCAGGACATTCCCAGGTAAACACAAGTCTGCTACAGCACCAGTTGTAGAGGACTGTTTTATCATGGCACGGTCTGTTCTGTCTGATAACAACCATTCTCTTACAAACCAGCTATTAAAAGGCACTAGATTTCTTTGAAGAAAATAAAGATATTAGACAATCATTTAAAAGATTTTATTATAAAATTATCTCAACATGTACATCCAAGTAAAAGGCTTAAAACCACAGCTCTACTTTCAGGAATAAAAATTCAGTTAATGCTGAAAAAAAGTACCATATTATTTAGGTAGATGGCCCTTAAGTAATTTTTACTACTACAGAGATTCCATGTGGGTTCCTTAAGTGCTACACACACCTCTGTCTGCATCACGAGTATGTTCTGCAGCTGCTCTCTGCAGGCAACACTATAGATGTGTCTACAGCACCTGTGTGCTTCAGCTGCATAGAGACAAAAGTCTTCCTACCTGGAAGAGCTGCAGCAATGTTACAGACATACAATATATGATGAGATCACAACTTGTATTCAAGCATTACTGGGTGCAGACAGAGATGTGCAGACAGTTTGTGTTTACTTGACAACAATGACTACCCAGGTATGTTTTTGTGACCTCGTGTTCAATACAAAAATCAACAAAAACTCAAGTATATTATGGCAGTTAAGGCAGCTTTTTCACACTTGTATAATCTAGACAAAAATATTTCCTTTTTGTTATCCATTTCACTCATTGAACTGAGCTCAGATACATGACCTGGTGACCAGCTTACTCACTGGGATAAACACTGCCTTGATGCAGTACTGGTCATTATGCTCAGTAGCTATCACCAATACTTCTAAACTTAGTTTTAAAAAGAAATTAAGCATCTCAGAATACTATTTTATTTTTGATTGAGAAATCTATCCCAACAGGACTTCTAGAACACAAGGTAGTTCCAGCTTTCTCTCGTTCCTATTAAAAAAATATTTGCTATTCCAAATAGAGTATGGAGTGGCTTTCTGTCCAACAAAAACAAATCTGTTTTATAAAACTGTCATACAACTGAGCAGGATGCTTTAAATACTGTACTTGCAACTTCTTGCAAAGAATCACATACACTTAAGATGCTAATTAGTAAAAAAGTTCAAGTAATATCATACAGCCCTGATGAACTTTGACTGGCCAGTTTGGCACTGTCCAATAGTTTAAAGTCTATTCTGTCATTAAGTTTATCTTGCTTACAAGGGGGAAAATGCACAGAGAAGATGGGAAAGAATGAAGCTTATTGGGAATGAAATATTTTCCCAACAGCTCTTCTCCACTGGCACTGTTCCTGTGTCAATCATCCATTATTTTGCTGTTCATAGAAGTTATTCTATAATTTTCACTGCTGTTCATATTTTGAAACTTCTCATTTCCAACACCACTCTTCCTGAAAACCTTTCAAACAGACCTTCAGTGCTCATCAGAATTTTCAGGGTATAGAATTCCCATGTACCTCTTTGAGCTATTGTGGTCCAATACAAATTTGACCTAGATAAGCAGATTTTTGCTTTAGTGTACTGAGCCACCAATCTAACAGCACGATGAAAAGGAATCACAAGACCATGTTTTAAACATGCTGTTTCCCACATCATGCTTATGTAATACAGATCACCAAAACCTTTCCATTCAACTTGCATGTCTGACTTCAGTTCTTAGGAAATCCTAACTGACTTGGCACATGCTTTCTGGAGTCAGGGATGTAGGCTAGATGCAGCCTAACCTTACAGCTGCTATAACCAAGTAGCTTTCCATTTCTTTCCAGCAGCTTTCTAAAATATCCTGATTTCCTTCTTAGTTACTTTATGCACATGAGCCTTACTTGGCTAGTTTTCCATGAACAGCTTAACAAAAAAACATAGCAATGTAACTCCCAGAGCAAGGCACCACATAAGAATTATTACTGGAATACACTTTGGTTTTTTTTTTAAAAACGGGACTTCCTTACATATGGGAAACACCTTCTCCCTACCTCCCAAGGTTCACTCCATTCCAGTCAGGCTGTATTTGTATGCTGTTTCTTGCTACAAGGCTACAAGGCTGCCATGTTAAGTGGATCTTTTCCAAATGTTATAAATACAGCTTTAAAGTACGTGTGTTATCTATCTACCTGAGAAGTTCTGTAATAAGATGAACCACTGATAACTATTCTAGGAGAAAAATATACACCAGCATAACTGACGTTTATATGTATTCAGAATTCAAGCATTAAACAGGACTCAACTTGCACGCCTCCATCACATGAAGTCTTTGATCATTAAAAAAAAAAAAAAGTCTGATTTTCCTCTATACACATCTCTTCTTTAAGGACATATGTGCTCCTGTTTTCCTCATCCTGAAGTCCACAGCAAGATTTCACATTCAGTGCATACAGCCTAGGCTATAACATCCTTATCTTCTTTCTCTTCTGCCAGTCCTGAAACTGAAGAATTTGTTTGTTTGGAGGTAGATGAATACTTCCAAACACTAGTCTTTTCTGAGAAGCCAGCTTGATCCCCTTGGGTGCCTGAATACCAACTTCTCTTTAGAGAGCTGCACTCTGCTTTGCTACATTCTTTGGGCCTTTACTTGGGACACACCAGTCATCTGCCTCAGAAGTAGCTTGGTAATGCTTGGAAGCTGATTTGTTAAAAACTGGAAGTTTTTCCACGGATTCTGTTGATAGAGCCTTAAAAAAAAAAAAAAAAAAAAAAAAAAATCAAGAAGAAAAAAACGTTATCTGGTTTCTACATCTCAAAAATGCCACTTTGCAACACTTCCTGGCATATGTTTCAAGTGTTAAGCCAGTGACACTACAAAACAAAGTTATTTACAAAAATGTTTCTACAATAGACACAGTAGTTTATGTGCTTCGGTATCTATGTTTGCTTTGGATAATTTGGCAGGACAAATGCAGTAACATCAAATCACATTTATGCATTTTTATAGGCCTTAAGAGTTACACTGTACCCTATTTTCAAGATAGTCCCAGAAGATGTGGAAAAGAACTTTTATTTACAAAATTCCAGAGAGGCTTTAAAATACGTTCCTTTGCTACTTCCATATTTTGCAGCTAAAAATAATATTCATATTCCATCAGGAAACTGCTAAATAGAAATGTAACATGTATATAAATGAACCATCTCTTCCTTTTATACTGCTTCTCTGCTTGTGCTTCTATGTGCTTGGAACTATGGTTTTGGTTTACTAGAAGAAATTCAAAGCACATCTTTCCCCATGAGTTAGTGCAGAGTAGAAAATACGTAGTCCTTTTTTCCAGGTTACTTAAAACATGCACTGCTGGGTTTATATGCCAGGTATTGAAGATTACTGATATCTGAATCCCATATATGGGTTGTATGGCAGATGTTGAATAGGACCAAGTACTAGAATCTTTAAGGATTAGTTTCCACAGACTTTCTGGTTGTCAGAATAAAGAAACAACAGTAAAAGAAACCAGATCTGTTGCTCACACCTTTCTGTTACCTCACTGTCTCCCAGTACTTTGTATCCCATGAACCAGTGGGTTACAAATCTTAAGAGTATCTAAAAACTAACGGGGCTCTCACTGGTAGTTTTTCAAACAGACTAGTTAAAGCCAAATAACCTTTTTAATTCTAGATAGCAGTTACAGATCTTACTGACATTTCCTAATAAAAAGAAGAGCTCTTCTACTCACAAGCAGAAAATCATTTTACCTTAAAAATTATATTGAATAGCTACCTCTCTGCATTAATGGTAGTTATCTTTTATTTAAACAAATCAAAATACATACCTTCAAATAGATAATAGCATCTGTTCCATAACCACATATGGAGTAGAGATTTAGGTCTCCTTGAAAGTATTTAGCATACAGGCGAGAAATTGGCAAGCCATACCCAAAGCCAGCCTAAAAATAAAGTACAAGACAAAATTAATTTATTTTTTTTACTAACTCTTATGACTTAACATTGAATAGCTGGAAAGTGTTCAGAGATTTTAAACTGCTACAAAGTCCTTTGCACTTCCTCTTCTCTTAAAAGAAAAACCAGAAATCTCTAATCAGTTTTATACAGAATATTGAAATTGACCATTAAAAAACCAAAGCCATGAGAAATAAAAAAAGCAAATCTCCATGAAAGAGAGAGGGTTTATATACATGTCATATTTCTTTATTTTCCCTCCCTCATTTTTGCTAGTACAACGTGATTAGTAAAAGGAGTTTGCTACTGGTAGATAAACAATAGTCTAAGCCTATTCCAGTTGTGCTTGCCTCCATAAAGATGGCATAATTTATAGAAAGTTTGAGGACTGAGTGGGAGTGAAGACCAAGTAAATTACTGTCACTGGATTGTAAGAAAAATCCAGGGTTAGACTCAGGTTGGAGTATTCTTCTTTGTTTATACCTTGAAAATCATATTTTAAATGCTAAGCTAGACGTTAAAAATCTGTTTCAGAGTGTCAATTTGTATTTATGAGGCTCAATAATCTTTGCATGCCCCACAAAACAGTAGGATGGACATGGGGTTTCGTTATTTATTAACCTACCAATCTGTCCAACACTTACAGCAACCTTATTAGCAACATGACTATTGAAAATATCTTACAAGAGGGGTATTTCGACCATCATCCATCCTTGGCCTTGGTGCTGTGGAATACATGTAGCTAAACAGCTGCTCAATTTTCCTTACTGGAACACCACCTCCTCTGTCTGAGATCTGATTTAAGAGAGAATAAATGGTATTTAAAATGCTGTTATTTGAACAAACTTTTCCAATAGTAATAATGCAAACATTTGTTTTGCAGCATATTATTTTTCAATTAGATAGTTGTGCTAAATGGAAGCTATCAATAGAATGCTCATGCATAGGATCTTTGTTCTGCTGTCAGAGGCTAGAAGTTGTTTTAATAGAATTTGCTGCAGCGTATGCAATCAAAGATTACATTAACCCCATATTGTAGTAGGCCAACAAAATACCTTAATTGCCAGGTCTTCTTGTCCTAGAACAACTCTCACTTCAATTGGAGAAAGGGAAGGACTGTTTTCTTGGAATTCAACAGTTGCTCTCATTGAATTCTATGGAAAAGAAGGTTATTATTATCAGAGAGTGTTGAATCTATGCACTTAAAATCATATCCCTCTTACGCAGAGGCTGAGCACAGTTATCCTATTTCTATCAGTGCCTAGTTTCCAAGGAACATGCTTAGCAATTTAGCATAACATGAGCAGAGGAGGTCTCGCACCTACAAGTGACTAAGCGTAGCCAAGCCTCTTCTGTGCATGAAAGGTTACACTGTTCTTGCCCAACGTAACTCAGCCAATGTAGATTAAGTAACGTAACTCCCTTAAAAGTACCCAGGTTTCTGGAGAAGAGCAGAGTTCATCAGCTGCTAAAGGCTGCCAGAATTCTGCATCCCATGTTGGCAGCCCATTAGTTCAGCCCCATTCACTACCTGAAGATGTATCACCCACTCCACATAGAAGGCACCAGGGCAAACCTGCACTACAGGTGTAATCTCTAAAAGCAGAAGGCTAGTGGTGGTCACAACCCCCCGTCCCACTTTTACTCTCTCTCTCCCTTACCCTGCCCCATTTACCACCACACAAAAGCATCCACTCTCTTATAAACATCAATCATTCCCAACTGCCAAAGCTATTTTCCCAAGTAAGAAAATTTTAGTAATCCCACTGTCCTATGCAAAGCCTTACTTCATTCAGATCTAGCTAGAGATTTTACATACTGATGCTCCAGCTCAAACTACTAAGGAAAGAAACAGTTTATATTGGTATACCTTAAAAAGCTCAAAAAGCATGTGAAAAAGATGAGATGGAACATATACGATGTTAATTGGCTCTCCTGGAAGTTTTCCTAGAGGAAGGCAAAAATACAAGTGAGATTTAAAAGGGACTTTTATGTATAGTATCCAGATTATATAATAAGCAAGTTGTATGCCAAACAAACAAGAAAATAAAGTTTCACTTGTTTTTTCTCCCCAAATGAGCAAACAACTTTATGCACTCCTTACAGTGTTTAGGTTACTTGCTTAGTAACAGTTTCTTTTCAAATAAGCTGAAAAAAATCATCTATTTATTTCCCAAGTAAAGGATTTCAGAAGTTAAGCAGACTGCCCGAGATCAGACACGTGCAGGCAGCTTGGGCCAGAACCAGCATTTCAGTCAATAGCCCCACTTCCTCACCCCAGATACAGAGCTCCTCTCTAGCAACTTATGTTACTTTAAGTACAGGTTGGTCTTACTTCTCTCAAATTCATAAATATTACCTCAGGAAATCTAGTGTTTAAGACACAATGACATTTGAGTTCTACACAGGAGATTAAATGAGGTACCTATAACAGAAAATGAAGAGCAACTAGCACAAGGCAGATCAACTGGTATGTCCCATTTTGGCTACAGAAATGGGAGCCTTTTGATTCAGTAAAAGCAACAGTCTGGCTACTGATAGGAAAACAGACATAAAAGCTCTCATCTTACCATTCACTTGAGTAAGCTTCAGTTCTGGAGATGTTAAATAATACTGGTCACACAACATCTTGGAACTTTCAAAAGCATCTGAAATATTTATTTAAATAAAATATATGAAGCGTAATATCAAATACTGTAGAAATTAATTCTGATGCATGGCAAAATATGATTTTTAACTGCATGAGCTGCTAAAATGTTTCAGACTCTAAGCCTGTGCCTTAAAGGAATGATGACATTGCCCCCACTTTGTGCACTAAAAACTGAGAACAAACAGGCAAATCACAGCAGCATGGGAAAAATCTTCAGTACAGTTTGATAATTCTGTAACACAGACACATCTGTTACCTATCAATAGGTAAGGCCGTTCTCAACACCACAGACTTTAACTCCTACCTCATCTGTCACTTGCTAGGCCTTACTCCAACACATTTTTTTACTGCTACTTTGTATTTTAAATTCTGTTCTATAAAAGCTCCTGTTTTGATAAGACTATTTTCAGCTACTTCAGTAAAAGCCAGTCAGCATCCAACAACATATGTTGGTTACCCAAATTGCTTGCAATCAGATATAAATGCTGATCGTGAAGAGAAATGTTAAGGATCTGAGAATACATACCTTTCACTACTTCCACAACATCACAGCAAGGATCAATACTTCCGATGTGCCTTGGGTGCCCTGAGCCAGATTTATCATCAAAAAGAAGGGCTGTTTGAGATGAAAACAATACCGTATTTAATCCCAAATACTGTATTAGAAAAAAAGCCTTCAACTAATACAATGTGATGACAACATATAATCACATAAAATACTGAGTGTTGTTTATGACTTTTGCAAGTTAAAAATGCTATCTACTGCCAGCAAATTGTGCTGGATATTCTGCAGTTCAACATCTAAAGGCTCTTCAGATATAAAGAACAACATTCCTACATATTCCACACAAGACTTATTACAGTTAGTCTGTAGTCTAGAAAACAAGTTTTCCCACTACTTTAAGTCATACATTCAGTTTCTAACATTTTAGTATCACACAAAATCATCTGAGGCAGATTTCCAACAGTTTTAAGAAATGTCTACATTAAGATGTTTCTTATTAGGTTGAAGTTTTTCCTCAGGTAAAAATTTCTACTTACTGTGCTGGTTCATTAGCATCCGGGTAGAAATACGGCTCATGTAAAAACGATCCAAAAAATACTGAATGTTTTGATTGGTGACAGGATCTACTTTATAAATGTCTTTGTATTCAATTACTCCTTGTGCCATTGTAGGAACCACATCATGATGTCTGTTTCGGACTGTAATTAATGTATCTATAAAGCTAGGTCAAAAAGAGATCTTTTTAGAACATTATTCTAAGACTACATGGAGGCAAGCTTTGTACACCATCATTATCTAATCCAGCAGCAGCACAGGTAAGTGCATAACAACATTAATGCTAAAATACAGTCTATTTTTTCATTCTTTTAAAAGTAATTCCTCACTGACCTAAACCAGAAGAGTCTGATACTTTTGATACAAAAAGTGTAATCATTAGCCATGTCAAATTCACTGCCTGTTTACTCATTCATAATAGTTTGAGTAGAGGAGAACGTGAGGAAGGCAAAAAGACCCCTAGCCGACATCTTGGTAAGAAGCAGGGATCACAGATCATTTTTGTTGCTATTTCTCTGCCATGACAGTTCAAAGGGCAGTATGCCCTTGAAACTGAGCTGCAACAGGTCATACTTATTAGCAGTATTGCTAAACATAATCAGAGATTTAAACCAGCTTGCTCTATGCACGGCACTTCATGCTAGATTATCAAATTCCGCTCATGACAGCTCTCATTCTAAACTGACTACACTGTGAAAAGTGGAATGTGAAATCAAAAGTCCAAAGAAACAAATGGAAATCTTACTCAGATAAGACTTTTTGGTCATCTGGGCTTTTCTGATGGAACTCAACCAACTCCATTAGGCTTTGGATGTACCTATTGAAAAGGAACACAAGAAATATGCTATTCATTTGACTTTTATTAGTCTAGGAACAGGAAAAATACTTTGTCTTGTCCAAGTAATTACTCTTAACAAGTCAGCTAGGAGTTTGAAGTATCAAAGTTCCATCCAAGTATGGAATCACAGATGGGCACGTTTTGACTGCCTGAACCCTAGAAGTTATAAAAGTCTTTTCTTGTGCTTTCCACCCAGAAAGGAATCTAAGCTCTTACTTTAGATAGGTAGGATCCCCTTACAGTTCTTGGGAGGTGTTTCAAAAGAAGATCCAAATGACAATTCTGATCAGGAAGCCACCTAGGCAAATTTTTTCCAAATCTGATCAGCTTTGGCACAAGCTAAGTACTTGAGCCTCTTGTGCTAACATCTGACAGCCTTGACACATACTGCAACAGCACAACTGTTTGCTAGATTAAGAACAGTCTCTGGATCCCGCTCTAATACTTTTGCCCTTTATGTCAGCCATCCTTGCAAATACTGCAACTGTGCCAGTAAAGCAAGGTTAAATCCGATTCAACCACTGTGTCAACTGCAGAGATTATGTTAACTGAGCTCCCAACACTGGCTGCACAGGCCAAAGCAATGTACTGTGGAATGGAAACCATTAGTAATTTCATCAGTGAGAGACCCAAACAAATAGATAGTTTGCTTTCCCATTTTTGTGTAGCTCTGAGGATCTATAATGCTGTGTGAAAACAGAACACGTTTTCTTCTCTCCCTTATTAAAGAAGGGAAATTCGCTCTATCAGCTATTTCAAACTGTTAGTTTAAAAACAAACAAACAAATCTATTTAAAAGTAACAATATTACCATGTTGGTTTTCAATTTAATTTTAATACGATAGAAAAGGACATCGTGTAACAGCTTGCAACTCAGCTTTGATGAAGGAACTGCATTTCTAGTGTATTTTGTTACTGTCTTCTACTATTCAAAAAAAGTCTATGACAACCAAGTTGTCAAAGCTATGTTATTTTACAGGCTGAATTCAGAGAGCTCTTACTTACCAGCTTCTTACTAATTGTACTGATGGAGTGCCTAATAATTTATCAGGAAGAAGCTCAATTTCTCGCAGTATGTTTGCAAACCTCACAGGAAGTTCTTGCCGCAAAAATGCAAAAGAAGTTCTCTCGCATCCATTAGTTGAGCCTATGAATAAATCCAAAATAAAAATTTTGTTTAAGAAGTTTCAGGACACAACTACAAATCGCTGTCTTTCCACAGACTTCAGGACTATATTCCTTTGCAATCATCACGCTCCTACCGGCCGGTTCTCCTAAGTGTACCTACGTTTGTGCTTAATGCTGTTTACATGACAGCAAGACACAGCATGTTCCTGGGAGGAATACTTGTACATTTTCCATTTAGACACGGGATTTATTTGTAATCCTCTAAAAGAAGCACTCCAGCCTTTGTAAACACGGGCTTCTTCGGGGTGACGTCTGAAAGCGTCATGTGAGCACGGACTCCACAGCTGCCAAAGCGGTGACGGATCTGGGTACGGCTTGTTCGCTCCCGCACGACACCCGGCCCCCTCCCCGGCCAGCCCCACCGCAGCTCAGGGCAGCGCCGGTTTAACCCTCAGCCCCCCGCATCCCACCGCCGCCACCGCAACGGAGCTGCGGCGTGCCCTCGGCTCCGATCGAGGCAGTCACAAGCCACCACCGCCCGGCGACCGGCCGGCGGGTGGCCGAGGCCGGGGCCGGTCGCCCAAGCCGACCTCCCCGGATCCGGCATGCCGCCCGGCGGGGCTCAGCCCCGCCGCTCCCCTCCCTCCCTCCGCCTCGGCGCTGGGGAGTCGGGCCGGGGGGGCGGCGGCTCCTTCAGCGCAGGCGGAGCCCGGTCCCCTCCGGGCGGGGACCGCCACCTCCCCCGGCCCCGGCAGCGCCGCTCCCGCACCCCCGCGGGAAAACAAGCCTCCGAGCCATCCGGCGTGCAGCCGCCCCCCGCCGACCCGACCCGACCTTCCCCTGCTCGCCCCGCCTCTCACCGAAGTCCAGCAACTGCTTGATGGAGAGCGGGGAGGGGGAGAAGCGGGAAAACTGCTCCACTTCCCGCGGTAACCGGCCGCGGCTGCTGCTGCTGCCGCCGCTGCTGGCCCCTGCCAGGGGGGCGGCGGTGCGCAGGGCGATCCGGGCGGCCTTCATCGCTCCCGGGGCGTGCGTCGGTCGGTCGGTCAGTCAGTCAGTGGGTGGGTGGGCGGTAGGTAAGCCGGGCGGTGGGTGGTTGGTCGGTCAGTCGGTGGGTGAGTGGGTCGTTGGTCAGTCGGTCAGCCAGTCGGTCGGTCGGTCGGTCGGTGCGTGGGTAGTCGGTCGGTCGGTCGGTCGGTCAGTCAGTCAGTCAGTCAGTCAGTGGGTGAGCAGTAGGTAGGTAAGCCGGTGGGTGGGTCGGTGGGACTCGCGCTGTCCCCTCGCCTGTAGCGGGCGGTTTCACGTGCCGCCTCTATTTACAGTCGCCGGGGGGCGGGGCTCCGGCAGACCACGCCCCGCCGCCCCTAACGGAACGTTCCCCGCGCGGTGCGGCTTGTGACAGCCGTTTGGCGGGGCTCCCCCCGCCCCGCCCCGCGGGCAGCCGGAGCGTCGCCAGCCCCGCTGGGGGAAGCGCCCGGGGAGGCGGCGGGGGAGCCGCCGGGCCGGGGCGGGGCGGGGCGGGGCGGGGCGGGGCGGGGCGGGGCGGGGCGGGGCGGGGCGGGGCGGGAGGAGGGTGCTGGCCCTGCGCCGCCTCCAGCGACCTTGTTTACTGGGCAGGGGCTGGGCAATGTCAGCGGCGGGGCGGCCGAGCCAAGATCTGAGGGAGCCGAGCCCCCTCCCGCTCCCCGTGAGCTGCTGGGAGGGGGGGAACCCGGCCGCGTGGGGGGAGTCAGTGGGCGCCGGCGGGGTCCCCGGGGCTGTGGGGAGCGGGGCCTGCCCAGCGCCGGCGGTGTTGCCAACCCTGAGGGGAACGCTGATGTCTTGTGCATTAACCGAAAGGGAAAGCGTCTCTCTTTGCACCAAGTGCAGGGGATGCTGGCGGCAGTTACTGGAAGCCCAGGGTCGGCGCGGAGGGTACGTGGAGGTGCAACGGCAGCAAAATCAGATCCTAGCCACAGGGTTCAGGGTGCTTGACATGTAGGTCAACTCTGTAACCTGGATTAATAGTGACCAAATATCTGAAGGCAGCAGCTTCAGTGACGCATTTGGTCCCAAATCGCCCTGTGACCCTTACTTACTCTCTCCAGAGCTGACCTACAGGGTGACTGACTGATCAGCTCGCTCTCAGTAAGTTCATCTTCCAGGGTCACAGATGAGCTGGGAAAAGCCTGCACACCTTTTCTCTTCACTGGAGAGGGAACTTTGATCTCCAATGCTGCCTGGCTTTTTCCCAAGACACCAAGTCCGCTTCACTAAAGGCAGGCTTTGCATAATGCATGGGAGAATGGAGTTAATGTCAGCAAAGGACTTCCTGACGTCCCAAGTCTTGGTCAGTAACAGCAGGAGCATGTGGCAATAAAACAGTGATACAAACGAATATAGCCTTCATATTTACATATAACTCCTCAGTCCAATTTTTATATGCATGTTTCTACACACACACAAATATGTATACTTTTTTCCATGGGAAAGAAAATACATTCCTAAAAAGAAAGTCATATACTTAGTTGAATAGGCAGAGGATAACACTTTGGCTTATCATTAGATTTATTTTTTATTTTATCTCATTTTTGTCTTCCTAGTCATTATATCTGTAATCCCTGTTTACTCTTCTACTCTCACTGTACTTTCTGTTTTATTAGTTTATTGCTCCCTGTTTTATTATTTTATTGGGAGAGTTACTCTTTTATTGTTCCATTGGATATATTATGGTTTACCACAGTGATTGAATGTTGGCATATGAAATGTGAAATGAAGCAAAATGAAGACATCTAACTAACAAATGTAACCATTTTGATTTTTCCTGAGCTTGCCAGGAGCTGAAAACTTGAGAATAGAAGTTGGGGTTTGCTTTCAACTGTTTTAACTTTGTTTGCCCTCAAGTTGCAGATGACTCACAGAAGTAAAAATACCATAGAAATTTTTTAAAATTATGGAGCATGTGTAGGATAGCTTTTGTTTTGTTTCATGTTCTTCCTGAAGCCATTAATCATTGGCAAGCAAAAAGCTCAAGGTTAATACTTTGCAATAAAATCCGCATAAAGAAAGTCCCCTGCACTAGACAGTTATTCTATCTTATAAGGTCACTATTTCTGTTCCTATTGAGATACTCTATTTTAATCTGCTGGTGTGCTTGCCCTGCTTAATGTAAGTAACTTGAATAACCTTTGTAAGTATTCATATTACACACTCTGATGTGAATAGGAAAAAAAGTCTACGAGGAATAATTGATGTTGTTTACATTCCTTTTCTTTACAGCCACTTTTTAGTTAGAGGCTGGTAGTTATATGCAGTAAAGGATGAAAAAAATGATCAGTTTAGCTCTGAACAAACAGTACAATTCTAGTTGCAGGAAATACAGGAAGCATGTTGCCTTCCCCAATTATTAAAAGGGCAAGGCTCCAGTAACTCAAAACCTTGATCCTTGTCAAACCAAAACAAACTTCTGCAAGGATTTTACACATCACCAGCACAACAACTAACACAGTTTTACTACTCCAGTGAGCTTCTGGAAGAATCATGTCTTCTTCATAATGCAGATTTGCTTCTCACTCTTTGGATGGTGGGTTATATATTACAGTAGGTTCTGAACAATGTAACTTTCCATTCCTGTAAGCATAAATTATGTAACTGGGAAATAATTGTTAAGGATGCCCTGAATATTGGGCAAGGCAGATAAGTTTTAGGCACAAAGGTAACAGTATATCAGGATTCATTGTCAGCCAAGCTGCATGTAAAGAAGACTAGGCTGTGAGAATTGTAACCACTTCAAATAACTACACAATCTATCCTGACTGCAGTACTGTTTGTTCTCATTTTATTTCCTCTCCAAACCACTATTTCCCCCCTCCTCCTGAAGCCCCAGTGCACATGACTGGGGATGTCAGACATAACTGCAGATGTCAGAATACGGCATTTTGATGGTGAAGGACAGTGCCAGATTCTGAACTGCAGCATTCATCAGATGGGGTCTCATTTCTGCTGTTTTAATAATTTAATGTTCCTCTTCTGAACTGCCCTGGGGCAAGTTTTGAAAAGGCAGTAACAACGCTTTCAGTTGCTCAGTCACAGTAATATTTTGCTGACTATCCTTAAGAAAATTGAGCTGCATTAACTTTCTGCTTTTTTGCACAACGACTGGGTCCAGAAGAGTGGAGTGAATGAAGACTCGATTCCTGTCCATTTGTCTTCTAATTGCTACCCACTGCCATCAGCTGTCTCCCTCCTCAGTGTTCCCTATGTCCTCCCCAGTGCTGGAGACACAACATGCCGTACTTGGGTCAGAGCCATGTTCCTGGCTAGCCAGAATACGTGATGACTGGCCGTGTTGCTGATGTCTACTACAAGGGGTCTTGACTGATTTTGCCCTAACTTTTTCTCCATGGGGACACAGATTCAAGGCTCTTCTTCCTAACCCACCCGCCAACAAGCACTGAGGACACAATATACTGTGCTGGGGTGGGTGCCTTCTCTAGATCAGCCAGAATACCTGTGACAACAACAGATGGGGTTGATGCTCTCTAGTAGAATGAGTCTTGACTGAGTTTCTCCTGCCTTTTTCTCAATGTGAGCCAAAATTTGAATCTCTCCTCCCTAAACCACCTGCCAGTTTGTACAAAGTTTACAGGAAATTGATTATCTATTCAAATTTGGTTGAAATGGTTAGAAGGGATGGTTTGGTAAACAGGTGAACAGGCAACATTATTGCAGTTTTTTCCCTTGGGGAACCAGACTAACATTTTCTAACAGGGACAAAGGCAACTTCTAAGTCAGCTTCTGTATGGAAGGGTAAATGATGATCCAAGAGGAGCAGTAAGTCGGGGTGGAAATTAATGGTAGCACTAGAAAGTTTTGAACGTAAGTGGAAGGAATGGCCTGGTGACTGGAGGGCATGGGTTGTATTTCTAGCCCTTCATGAAACTTCCAGCAATACCATGAGCAAAGTGCTCGCCCTCTGCCTTGCAGACAGGTCTGCATTTATGCAATTGGATTGATACTTTATTCCACTAACACGTTTGTTTTCTAAATATTTATGTGGCCCTTAGCATGGAAAAAAAAAAAAAAAAAAAAAAGACAGAAATAGCATTACAAACAAGGGTCATATCTTCCCTTTCTCATGTTTCTACCACCCGCCGCTGCAGCCGCAGGAGCTGTCGAGCTGCCGAGGGCTCCCAGCACGGCCAAAATAGCTGAAGTAGGTGAAAGGTTGTGGAGCAGCACACAAACAGGCTGGTGTGCCCAGCCCCGCTGCAGGGTCAGTGAGGGAAAGGTCCTGCAGCTGCTCTGCCGCTTGCGCAATCTCCCCCGCCCCCTCATAGTTTGCAAAAGTCAAGAGTACAGTAGCTGGATCGTTTTACTGCCGGAGCTGCGGCCGGGCAGCCGCCTGCTTGGAGCTGTAAACACCGGGGATGGCATGGCAACCCGGCAGCCCCGAACAGGAGGCACCCTTTTTCCTCATCCCTGCCTTTGTTATCCACGGCTGAAACTGTGTGTTAACTGCTTTAAAACCAGGGAAAAGGAGAATGGATAGCTGGTTTCAAAATTGCTTTTCCAAAAAAATAGCGAGGGGCTTGCATGAGATTCACTGTTGGTGTTTCAAACTAGGAGTGTAGAGATAGCAGAGAGGGGAAAAACTGCTTTGGAGCATAGCTGTACCCTTCAGGAAAAAAGCTAGGACTCAAACTGTGATAAAATATTACTCAGAAGTGTTTATCTTGAAAAGCTTGTCACTAGAGCATGTTGAATTCAGAAGGCTGCTTACTATGTAGGAGAATAGTAATCTTTGGCTAAGTATACCATTGCAGAGGAAATAGAGGTGAACTCCTGGTGTGGGCTGGCACTGATCTAAAGTATATAGCTAGACAGAAAAATGTCCTTTTCCAGCCTCAGCTGGCTACCGTAGCAGCTCTTGTGGAAGAGTATGTGGCATCCTCTATGGGAGCTGCTGACGCAGAGGAAAAAAAAAAAGAGGAAAGGTGTCATCAGGACAGCTGCCACGCTGGGCCACGGCTGCCTTTTCTGTGAAGGGCCCTGCTCTGGAGAAGAGCACCTGGGAAAAGGTGGGCAACTTGTGAAAAGTCAGAAAAAAGCAAATGTTACCACAAGAATACAACTTTTAAGGGCTAATTATATTTCAGCGGAAGCAACGGTTATATTTTTCTGTAGGAATATGGGAAGGGAGTTAGTGGAACAAAATGTATCAATTTAAAAGTTTTGGATTAGATATTTTAAGAAACACCTCACCCTGAGCAGCAGCTCTAGCTTTACCTGTAACCATTATATGAGTCATGTGCTTTGAACAGGTACACACGCTGCTTTTCTTTTTCAGTGTGGACCATGCTGGATGAAGATGAGGTGGTTTTGCTAAGTCTT